TGATCTGATCATCATCTAAGTCACAACAATAGACAATCACAGTCTGCTTAAACTAATAACACACAAAGAATGAAATGTTGCCATGTTTTTATTGAACACACCATGTAAACATTCACAGTGCAGGTGGAAAAAGTATGTGAACCCTTGGATTTAATAACTGGTTGAACCTCCTTTGGCAGCAATAACTTCAACCAAATGTTTCCTGTAGTTGCAGATCAGACGTGCACAATGGTCAGGAGTAATTCTTGACCATTCCTCTTTACAGAACTGTTTCAGTTCAGCAATATTCTTGGGATGTCTGGTGTGAATCGCTTTCTTGAGGTCATGCCACAGCATCTCAATCGGGTTGAGGTCAGGACTCTGACTGGACCACTTCAGAAGGCGTATTTTCTTCTGTTTAAGCCATTCTGTTGTTGATTTACTTCTATGCTTTGGGTCATTGTCCTGTTGCAACACCCATCTTCTGTTGAGCTTCAGCTGGTAGACAGATGGCCTTAAGTTCTCCTGCAAAATGTCTTGATAAACTTGGGAATTCATTTTTCCTTCGATGATAGCAATCTGTCCAGGCCCTGATGCAGCAAAGCAGCCCCAAACCATGATGCCCCCACCACCATACTTCACAGTTGGGATGAGGTTTTGATGTTGGTGTGCTGTGCCTTATTTTCGCCACACATAGTGTTGTGTGTTTCTTCCAAACAGCTCAACTTTGGTTTCATTTGTCTACTGAATATTTTGCCAGTACTGCTGTGGAACATCCAGGTGCTCTTGTGCAAACTGTAAACGTGCAGCAATGTTTTGTTTGGACAGCAGTGGCTACCTCTGTGGTATCCTCTCATGAAATCCATTCTTGTTTAGTGTTTTACGTATTGTAGATTCGCTAACAGGGATGTTAACATTTGTCAGTGACTTTTGTAAGTCTTTAGCTGACACTCTAGGATTCTTTTTCACCTCATTGAGCAGTCTGCGCTGTGCTCTTGCAGTCATCTTTACAGGATGGCCACTCATAGGGAGAATAGCAGCAGTGCTGAACTTTCTCCATTTATAGACATTTTGTCTTACTGTGGACTGATGAACAGCAAGGCTTTTGGAGATACTTTTATAACCCTTTACAGCTTTATGCAAGTCAACAATTCTTAATCGTAGGTCTTCTGAGAACTCTTTTGTGCGAGGCATCATTCACATCAGGCAATGCTTCTTGTGAAAAGCAAATTCAGAACTGGTGTGTGTTTTTTATAGGGCAGGGCAGCTGTAACCAACACCTTCAATCTCATCTCATTGATTGGACTCTAGTTGGCTGACATCTCACTCCAATTAGCTCTTGGAAATGTCATTAGTCTAGGGGTTCACATACTTTTTCCACCTGCACTGTGAATGTTTACATGGTGTGTTCAATAAAAACATGGCAACATTTCATTCTTTGTGTGTTATTAGTTATTAAGGGTTCACATACTTTTTCTTGCAACTGTATTTTGGATGGGGTTTTTAGGACTTGTTAGTACGTCCTCACCATACTGGGCTTTAACGTCATTAAGACTGATTGACATTCAGTATTATAATAAAAATGAGTACAATTTAAGATTTTTTGTTTCATTATGACTCAGTGGGAAATAAGTTTTTTAGACTTTTTGTGGTGACCAACAATCTATTAGAATTTTAACTGAAAGCTTCAAGAAGGATACTTTAGGTAATAACTTGTTATTGGTGGTGGTGTTATTATTATTAGCTACTAGCTCTCACCCTAAACCAGGGGCGGATCCAGAACCCAATCTCAGGTGGGGGAAAAGATTATTTATAGAATCAATCCAGGCACATTAACCACTACATGCCGTGGCACCCTCCCAGAGTAAGTAGTCAAATCATTTATGAATAGTTTCACAACTTACCTGGGGTCTGCTGCGGTAGGGTATATGGCCTGTAGTAGGGGACAGGGGTAGTAGTGTGTTTGTGTGGTGCGATGTGTGAGGGGTGAAGTGTGTGTGCATGAGGGGTGCAGTGTGTGTGAGGGATGCAGTGTATGTGTGTGTAAGAGTGGTGTAGTGTGAGAGGGATACAGTGTATGTGTCTTAGTGGTGTAGTGTGTGAGGGGTTCAGTGAATGTATGAGGGGGACAGTGTGTCTGAGGGGTCAGTGTGTGTTTCAGGTGTCAGTGTGTGTGGGGGGTCAGTTTGTGTATGTCTGGGGCAGTGTGCATGTGTGTGTTTGATGGCTGCAGTGGGTGTGAGAGATGCAGTGTGTGTGTGAGAAAGAGATGCGGTGTGTGTGTTTTAGGGGTCAGTGTGTGTGTGAGAGAGAGATGCAGTGTTTGTTTGAGTGGTCAGTGTGTGAATGTGTGGGGCAGTGTGTGTGTTTGTGTGTGAGCAGATATTGTGTTTTGGGGGCAGGTGGGTGCAAATCAAATTTATAGGGTTTTTTTAATTATAAAATGATTAAACTTTATATCCCCCCTCCCTTCTCACCTTTGCTCAGGGAGGGGGACATTTCTCAATCTCTGGTGGTCCGGTGGAGAAGCCCTGGTGGTCAGGTGGGATTGAACTCTAGCCTGCAGCTCCTGAGGCAAGAGTTCACTCTCGTGAGACCCGGCGGAACTGCAGGCTGGGCTCCCGGGTCCTCTCTCCCTCCCCTGCCGGCTCCAGCAAAGTGCCTGCGGACCTGTGAAGGAGATTTCTGATCTCCCCACCAGCAGGGCCAGCACCTGGATAATGCCAGCCCTGCAAGCGATAGAAAGGAAGAGCCGGAGGGCAAAGCAGAGAGATTGCTGTACTTTTTTTCTGGGGGCAAGGGGGCAATTGCCCATTTTACAGCTCTCCCCCTTGGGTCTACCACTGCCCTAAACACAACACCAAAGGGGAGTTCATTCACTGGAGACATAAGTGTTCTAGCATGTAAAGCTTTGAGAAAAATGCTGTCCTGCTTAGGAATAATTTGAAGCATAGGGGTACACCAATTCCCAAATCCAAAGGGGCTATGCTCTGGTTGAGACTAGAAGCAGGACTTTCTTGTTGTACAGCAAATGGATTTCGAACAATAAAAGGGGTAGTTCTAATGAGAAACACTTAAATAAAGGTTCAAACTATCATTCTGATAGAGACAACCACATGGCTTTTATCAAAATTAGTAAGATTTGAATAACTATTTGTCAATATTTTGTATAGATTCATTGTTAAAGGGAATTTACCACAAAGGCTAATTTGTGGTGCTGGACAAGGAAGGACCCATACTCTCCCCAAGTCACTTTCATGACAATTGTCACACACATCACACTTGGTTTAGTTGCAAGGGCATGAACAAATGTAACTTGCAAGGAGGATAGGATTGAACCTCAGAGTGGACATGGAAGGTAAATCACACAAATAATTCAATAATGTAGTATTTTTTAAAGTCAAAACGAAAGTAACATAAATGGATACACTTACACTCTTCAGAGTTGCAACTCAGCTCTTTTAGGTGCGCAGAAGTGGTACAATCCCAACTTGTAGACAATAGGACTTCTCTCCTTAAGGTTTTTTTTCTTAGTAGGATATAGAAAGAAACAAACTGAAAATGCACTGTGGTGTAGTTGTATATCAATTATAGTGAATAACATTAAAGGATCACTATAGTGTCAGGAAAACTAACTTGTTTTCCTGACACTATATAACCCTTAGGTCCCCACTTCCTTGGCGCTGAAGGGTTGCCTGGCCAGACTTTTCATACAGGAAACAAGTAAATAGGTAAAGGAAAGATAATAGTCAAGAATGTTCAAGTGTGTCAATGTAGAGGCATCACAGCCCGCCTCTATCATCCCCTTCCAGACACTTCATGGAGGACACACCAACTTCTTGGCTTATCCACCACCGCACCAGCACACAATCCATCCCAGCTCTGGACCTATTCCCACTAGGCCCCTCTATGTTACAAAATGTACGTTTTTCATGGGTACCATTGTTCCGTGTGCTTTGCACCAGTATCCAAATATCCTTGTAAACCGGTGCTTTTTAGTAGGTTTTACAGAGCACGTTAATAAGACAGACATGAGAGACTTAGCTTTAAGCATTAAGCAAATACCCCCTGATTGATTTCTTGTACTTTGATATGGATAGGGGTGTAATGTTCAACAAGTCATTTTCAAACGCTAATGGGGGCTGATTTTCAAAAATCTTTATCAGAGCTTCCTGACCATCTGCCAGTATGGTTTTATTCCAGGGCAATCCCACCATGTGTTTTATGATTCTCACGTTCCCCCCACATCTCCAACAACAAGAGAATATCAAGGAGAATATCCTGGGTAGTCACTTCAGAGTGTGATGCTACTGTAAAAGTAACTTGTAATTAATTTCCCAAAATCGAGAACTGATGGAACGTTTATGTTGGAAAAGGAGAGTTCTCTCCCACGGGTTTTTGGACTTATTCTAATCAAGAATTCTCTCCCACTCCTAAATAGGTTCACCTCTTCCCAATCCCCATAAGCAGCTGTTAATATATAACAGATACCGACCCACTCATGTCGGTGCTTCTCACACACAGATATTCAAACAATGTCTGCATATAGCAGAAACTCTCCTTTGGGGTGGGATGCCAATTGCTCACTAATTACCCTAAGGTTTCAAGACCGCTCACATCTAGTATACTATTAATGGAAATATACTTTCCTAAAAAATCAATAGCTATGCCTGGGAGTTCAACAGCTGTTGATTTATTGTTCACTAAGGGTATTAAAGAGCTGCTCTGGTTTGCATTACTTTTGAATGCCTTTAGAATGACAAAGCATCATGGGAGTTGTAGTTCTATCATATCTAGGGATCTATTTATTGGGCAGCCCTGCTGAAGAGCATACCGAGGTAAGTGAAGATCACAGTTTAGTGGCATCAGACCTGTTCCATTCCTGTACTCTCTGCAACACTGTGGCGTTGAAATTTTTTTTAAGGCAGGCAGGTCCAAATGCCTCCTTGCCCTTGAACAACAGAGAACGGTTCGCCACGGACTCATCATTGAGTAAACTTTGACCCTGTACCTCACAGTCAGCAGACACATTCCAGCCAATCAGCAGCAGACCCTCCCTCCCAGACCCTCCCACCTCCTGGACAGCATCCATTTCACATTCATTGTAAACCTGCATTCTTAGTGAGCTGTCCAGGAGGTGGGAGGGTCTGGGAGGGAGGGTCTGCTGCGGATTGGCTGGAATGTGTCTGCTGACTTTGAGGTACAGGGTCAAAGTTTACTCAATGATGAGTCCGTGGCGAACCGTTCGGCGAACCATTCGGGACATCACTATTGATGACCTAAGCAATTTAAAGAAGGTCTACAAAAGAATTCTGGGTAACAAAATCATTTTTAGAAATGATATTTGGCTATAGTTAGTTTCACCTTTGCTTATCCATTTAGATGGAGCAGAGGTATGTGAGTCATTTGCTAAAGTTTTTCAGGGTCTGTGGTAATCCACATATCCAGATATTTAATCTGGTCTTTATACTAATAAAATGGAAATTGCATCTCTAGAATGTCGAAATCTGGTCATGTTAAGAACTTGCACTTTGACTGGTAAAGTTTTAGGTTCGATAACACACCATATTCCATACATCCAATTTGTTAGTGAGATTCAGGGGTTCTCAATGAAAAAGAGCAAGTCATCTGCTTATGCGTTAACTATATGCTCTGGATCCCCTTGGTGAAACCACAATATGTCAACGTTCCTTAGGTTCACCTCCAAAAACAGTTTCAGGGATTAGTGCAAACAGGAGGGATGACAGTGGGCATCCCTGCCTAGTTTTATAATGGATCTTGAGTGCTTCTTGAGCGCTTCCATTTGCCCTTATACTGCTGTTTGGGAGTGAGTAAAGCGAAGCTAACCATGTGCAATTTCCCTGCGAACCCCATCTTCGCTAGCTTTGCTATTATAAAGACCAAGTCCACCTGATCAAAGGTCTTTTCGGCATCTGTGGAAAGTAGCAATTATGTCTAAGTGCTGCATTGCAAAGAGCTGTAGTGTGTTGTCCCTGGCCTTGCATCCTGGTATAAAGACAGGCTGATCCATGTAGACTTGGTCTGGAACTATCTATTGTATGCATATACCTTTAACATTACAAAAAAGTTTTATGTCGACATGCAGAGATGATATTGGTCGATGGTCCCCATACAACTTTGGGTTCTTCCCCTCTTTTGGCTGAATAGTGATGTGAGCAGACAAGGGATCCATGTGAAATCTGTGATTTAGTTAAGAGCCTGTACACAGGTATTATCCAATTAAATACAGCAAATCTGAGTTTTCTTTCTGCTTCTCCAGAGCATATGTGCAAGCGGGCTATCACTATAATTGCAGTGATTGTAGAAGAATCCCTTGGTGCACTGAAGTATTCTATGGTATCAGTGCATGAGAAGTGCCGACAAATCCTGCTTAGCTACCAGCAAGTCCTGATCGTCAGCGTCTAATAGAGAACATTAATGGCATGATTCCAGCTCCATAATTTGGGCTGTGAACTTCTCTATCAGAGCTAGTCCTTTTTCCCCAAGGCGGTTAACTTAATAAATGTGCCTCCCATATTTTCAAAGCTGTTGTGTTAGTTTTGTGTAAGAACTATTAACAACACTTCCATACCCCACACTAATCCAGTTTTTCTGTAACCCCGCTCCTACTCCCCGACCCCCTGCTCAACTCCCAGAACATAACTGGATCATTGCAGAACACTAAAGCTGCTTGTAGAACATGGGCTGGTCCATATTTCAGTCATCTCTTGCCGATCTGAAAGAATCTAATCTCTAGGTGGGGGTCAATGCTCAGTCTGTGATCTCTAGGCTATGTGGGATGTACACCTCCCAGTTGTCTGTGGCTCTAGTTTGGGGTGCCAGCATCAGTTAGCTAGTCTGAACGACCTTAGTGTCTGACTGTGTGAATGCTAGGTGTGGGGAGTAGTGTGGGGCTCATGCAGTAGTCTGCCACAATTCACGCTTTGGGATGGACAAATCCATATGTCTCGGGGCCTCAGGATCCAATGATGAACCACTCTGTTGGTGTCTGATGACAGGTTGCATCTCCGGCCCCTCATCTAGTGGCCCCAGTACCCACTTGAGAACTGAAAGTAGTTTCAATCAGGACAGGAAGTTTGGTACCTCAGTGAGACCCAGGTGTTGTCATGCCGTGCCTGCAGGCTGAAAAGAGACCTCAATTTGTGCTGGGTATGTCTATCTTGTAACCTGGACATGATAGGGTGCAGGGCCCTCCTAACACCCAGTTCCAGCTTCAATGGAAGACCCATCTTGTTTCCAGGCATCCTCTTATGAAGTCCCACAGCAGTATTTATAAAATCCTCAATCTGGCAACTCTGGGTCCTGGAGTCCGATCCCCTTGGGGTCTGGGGTAGATCAGCCAACTATTACAACCGACAAAAATCGATTTTATATATGTATTAAGGCCTTTTGGCCTGGAATTGTGGGAGGGGCGTATGACTCACCTTCTCCCTATTTAAGGGACACCCCTTACCTGGCTCCATACCGTTCGAGGTCAGCGATGCATCTGAATCCACTTCCGGTTCACGTGCGGCGCCATCTTGCTTTTTCAAAAAAACAGCGGTTTCATTTTGGTGTAGCTGTGTCCAGGAATCCTCACAAATCAGGTCTTCCGCCCGTCCAGCCACACACACACCCGGTGGTCCGTCGCAGATTAAGTCCACAGGACTGCAAAATCGTAAGTCCGTCGCCCGGATCATTTCCCACGGCGTCGCGATTTAAAGCGGCCTTACTTTACGGCCACACGCTTTACAGCCAAGTCACAGGCATAGTTAACCCGTTTGCTTCCGGCATGATCGCTGTATACTGTGCTGACTGACGGTTCGGTTTTGTATTAACTAAACTTCTTGTCTTCTGCATATCTGTATCTATAGCTGTTTTTATGTTACCATTGGTATTTATTTATGCAATTACTGGAGCAAATCCCCCCTTTTTTAACTACATTTAAATAAGTATTTGTTTTAGGTTATGGTTTCATTCTATTATCAGATATGGCATTAGTTATATTGGAATTTCTTCATGTTACATATATATATATATATATGTATATATATATATATATATATATGGATTTATGCTTAAACAAGCCTTTTACAATATTGTGGGGATATTTATGGGATAATAATAGTAACAGTGAGAATTGCCCACTAATTCAATTCTCAGATCCCAAAGAACGTTTATCGTGTTAAGTGGAATGTATTTCATATAATTAATATCACAATGTATAAAAATAGATTTTTTTATGATAACCAATAATTAACAAATAATATTATGTAACATGCATGACAATAATCAATGAATATTCAGTATAAATTGGTATGCAATACAAAGAAATGGGTATTACGTTTCAATGGCTAAATAGCATTTCCTGTCAAGAATTATTTATGACTATCTTTAACACAGGCTTAAAGTGAAACTTTTCACAGGGAAGAACAGAATTCCTCAGAGCGCAGCGTAAGGTCGTAAAGTTTAGCAGACAGTTAGAATAACGCTTTCAATGCTGGCTAGATCTCCTAGGTAGTTAAGATCTACTCTTATGTATTTTTAAATAAAATAACATTTAACCCAGTTCATTAGCCGTTTTCTTAAAATCATCCAATAAGAGAATTTACCACATTATATAAGCAGATTTTTAATTTGTCTAAAAGATATCTATCTTAATTTAGAGCAAATCAATACACCTGGATAAAAACAGCGGTATGCTAACACGTGATAATATCACATCAATATATAATTATTCTTAATTCCACCTGCAGAATGGAATGTTTATAACTATATATTCTTTAGTTAACTAAGATTTCTTAATATGGAAATCTGACCGTGCTTTATCCAGTCATATATAATGCTATTAATACATTTTAATTAATTTAATTAAATGAAACCAGTATAATTACCAGTTGAGTAGATATTTCATCCGATTGGTAGTCTCAGGAACTTATTTGGATGTCTCTCTCTGCATGGAGGTTGGAGTCCCCAAACTTCCAATTCCTCTCTCCTCTTTTTCTTTGCATATCTCTTGGATCTGCCTTCTATCCCTATCTTCCCTTTGTCTTAACTTTTAAAGGGCCAGACTCTCTGTACGTCATCAGTTGATAACCCAATAGAAGCACTAGAGGTGTGGTTATCTTCCAGATCGCAAATTAGTTATTTGGTCTATAGAGGGTTAGTCTATAGAGAATTGTCTGACTCAATTCTTTGAGGCAGACCGAACCTGGAAAAGACATGGTTAATCAACAAAGTGGCGCACACGGTACTCGTGTTCTCTTTACAAGGCAAACATTCTATCCACTTTGTGTACATACATGTAACGGTTAACATGTATTTGTTACCTCTTGAAGATCTTGTTACAGGACCTATAAAGTCAATTTGAATATCAGACCAGGGTAATGACACCCCCCTCTTCTGAAGTGGTGCACGATGGGTTGGACCATGGGGTTGATATTGCGGACAAATCAAGCATCCCTGACAGTATGTCTTAACATCCCTTAACATGTGTGGCCAATATGCATAATCACGCAATATCTCATATGTGATCTTATCACCACGATGCCCAGATGTAGGTGCATCATGTGCGTGTTGGAGCATTAACCCTCTGTATACAGTTGGGACTACCCATTGTTGTATACCATGTTTAGAAGTTCTGACCAGCAACCCATCCATGATACTAAATTGGACTTTATATCTCATCAAGATTCGTAAATCTTCATTATTTTTGCAATCCTCATCTGTGATGGGATTGGCAGTAGGGTCTTCTATATGTTTATAGAATATGCCTATGACGGGATCATTCTTTTGACTAGTAATCAGGTCATCACTAGGAGCTTCTTGACTCCATTGCACGACATTTAAGTCGGCATTATCTCTAGCCTGTCGTCTTGTTATGGCTTCAACATGAATTGAACCCATAAGATCATCAATGTTTAGGGTTTCACCATTGATGGCAGCTTGTTTTGCCAGTGAATCAGCTAAGTCATTACCATCCTTGTCAATACCTTCTATTTTAGAATGGCCTTTGGTTTTCTTCCAATATATGGATAAACCATTTACCTTAACCAACTCATCAATTTTACAAAACAATTTCCCATGTTTAACAGGTTTGTTATTGCTTTTCAGCATTTGGTTACGTTTCCAGCTAGGCAGATATTCGACGAAACTGTTGCGAACATAGTTAGAATCAGTTATAATAACA